GGAGGAGGGGCAGGAGCAGGAGGAGGAGCAGGAGGAGGAGGAGGAGGGGAGGGGCAGGAGGAGGAGCAGGAGGAGGAGGAGGGGCAGGAGGAGGAGGGGCAGGAGGAGGAGGAGGAGCAGGAGGAGGAGGAGGAGCAGGAGGAGGAGCAGGAGGAGGAAGGGGAGGAGCAGGAGCAGGAGGAGGGCGGGAGGCGCTGGCAGCTCTGACCTGCTCTCCTTGCCCCTGCAGCCTTGGTGACGCTCACTGGCATCAGTGTCTACATCGCCTACTCGGCCGCTGCCTTCCGCGAGGCGCTGTGTCTGCTGGGGGAGCGGGCGCTCCTGGACCAGGTGGACATCCGCTTCGGCTGGTCGCTGGCCCTGGGCTGCATCAGCTTCGTCTCGGAGCTGTTCACTGGGGTGGCCTTCATGGTGGCCGCGCGTGTGCTCAGCCTGCGGCGGAGGCAGGACCAGGCCATCTGAGCTGGGACACCCTGTCCTGGCGGCGTGGGGAGGGAGGGCTTGGCCCCGGGGCCTCCCAGACCCGCCTCCTCTCCCTCAAAGGCTGTCCGTGGAGGCCAGGGGTGGCCCTGCCCTCTGGGGCCTGGGCTGCCGTCCGTGCAGCCCAGAGTGCTCTGTGCCAGGTGCCCCTGTGTCTGCCTGGGCCTGCTGCAAGAGGCCGAGGAACTGCTGGACCCATGTCACTTGAAATAAATGACAGTCCTCTGCACAGGGAACTTCACAGCTCTGTTCCCGTGACATCTGCGTCTGGGTGCCTCCTCTGGCGTCATGAGCTCCTCCTTGTTATGAAATGTTCAGAATGACCAGAGAGGTCAGGTAACTTGTGCAAAGCTGCACAGTGAGCCAGCAGCACCCTCCTCTCTCAAGGCCAGCTCCCAGGCCCCAGTGCAGCTTCTGGACAGGCCCAGGGTCAGCTGCCTTGCGCCCACTGGGCATGGAGTTGCCCTGGCTCACCCACTGGCCTGGGAAGGTGCAGCGGAGGCCTGCAAGGAGTGGGCACAGCCCTGGGTTCTCCGCCCTGAGGTGCAGACGCTCCAGCTGGACCTTGCTCCTGACCCTCCAATGGAAAAGGCCACCCAGTGAGCTGGTCCTCAGGACCAGGGCTGGTCATCCCAGAGGAAGACCCCTAGGCCAGTGAACAGGGCCCCGTGTCACCCGGGAGTGACAGGAAGCAATCCTAGGACAGCAGCCACCCCACGGTGAGTGGGAAGAGCCACCCACAGCCCTGACTTCAGCTTTGCAGCACCCAGGAGACCCCTAGGGCCTCCTGTGACAACCTCACCAGCCCTGTGACGTCACCATCCTCACTGACGTTGTCCTCTTCGTGACACCATCCTCCTCACCGTGACACTATCAAACCTTCACTATGACAGCACCATCCTAGGACATCCTTCCCACTATGACGTCATCCTCACAATGACCTCACCACCACCCTCACCTGACACTGTCCTCCTCATATGACACCATCATTTTTACTATGACATCATCATCCTCACCATGACTATCATATCGTCATTATGAAGACCATCCTATGACATCATCACCCCATGACATCCTCCTCCTCACCACGACACTATCATCATTCTCACTGTGAAGTCGCCGTCCTTGCCTGACATCACCCTCCCTCACTATGAGGTCATCACCCGTGACTCTGACTCCTCACTATGATGTCATCACCCGTGACTCCGCCTCCTCACTATGATGCCATCGTCCACACCTTCACCCTCACGGTAACACCACTGTCTTCACTGGGACATCCGCTTCTCCCCAGGTGACACCATCATCTTCGCCATGGCATCCGCAGGTGACGCCCGGTAGGTGCTGGCTGAACACTGGGCAGCGCTGCGGGCCAGTCACCCTTGGTGGGAGGCCAGCCTTGCCCTCCGAGCCGCAGGAGGGCGAGGCGGCGACGGGGGTAAGCGTCGGGGTACAGATGCGGGGGGCAGGTGCCGGGCTGCAGGTGCGGGGCCGCAGGTGCAGGGCTTCACCGGCGGCAGGTGCGGGGCTGCAGGTGCGGGGCTGCAGGTGCGGGGCCGCCCAGCGGGTTTCTGCACGGGAGAGCGGCCTCGCTGCTGAAAGGACGGTCTTTGCTGCCATCTGCTGGCCACACGGTGGCACTGCGTCAGAGGCCGGACTCGTCAAAAAGACTCCTCGAGGGCGCCGCACCGCGGGCGGGTCCTCAGCGGGCGGTTGTCCCCACCAGGACATCTGGCCCTGCCTAACGGGGCAGGGTGTTCACCTGTGCGGGGCCGTCGCGCTGAGTGACCAGCATTTTCCTTCCCGGGATCGGTAGAGGCTCTGTCGGTCACTTTGGTAGAGAACTGGTCACCTTCCTAGTGTCCCTAGACGCTGCCCCATCCTCTAAGTAGCCGAATGTGTCTTCAGGGCAGGCCGCCTTCCTGCAGCCCCTGGGTCCGGCTCCGCTCACCTGTTCCCTGGTGACCTGTTTGGGACAGGATGTTCCCTGGAAACGCCCTTTGACTGTGCCCTTGGGTGTGGCCTACCCAGGTGTCAGTCAACTGCTGACAGTGGACATCAGGGAGATAGACTCAGCCCCCGAAACCTGACCCCTCGCCTCATTTGAGTGGCTTCTCCTCAATAAAAGGGTCAGCCCCTGCTGGCTCTCTCTTCCTGTGGACCCTTAAGGTCAGAGGAGCCGTGACAGGACCCCAAGAAAAAGGCACCTCTGTCTCTGTGGGGTCATTTCACACAGCCCAGTTCTCCTGGAGTGACCCTGAGTGTTTTTGTCACCTGGTGCCTAGAGGGTGGAGGCTGGAGGATGCTCTCCACATCCCAACCCTGCTCAGCACCCAGTTATCCTCCCACGCGACGACGGTGCTGAGGCCCAGAAAACCGGGCGCCCCGGGGAGCTGCCGTCGGGAGCTGCTGTCACAGAGAAGGGAAAGTCTTCATTCACTCATGAAACCAGTGTGAGCCAGACACCGGTGTGGAACCGTCCTCAGGCCTGGAGACTCCTTAGCAGGGAGCCCGCCCTACCAGCTTACATAGATCAGAGGGTAGCACATGTTCCAGTCTCACACACGGGAGCGGCAGACGGTGGCCGGCACCACAGCACTGGGAGAGCTACTGCCCCGGGGTCCACTGGGAGGGAGGAGCAAAGAGCAGAAGAGGTAGGTGCAAAGGCCCTGTGGTGGGTAAGGCTTATGTGTTTGAGGTAGATAAAGGAGAGAGAGGGAGAAAGGAAGGGGGGGAGGAGGAGAGGAGAGGAGAGGAGGTGCCGCCCAGGACACAGGGCAAGAGGGGCTGCTCTGAGTGGGGTTGGGGTTCTTCTCTGTTCACTCCCCTCGGTTCCAGTGGAATCATTCTGAGCGTCATAGCAGTGTCCGGGGCTTTTGGCAGCTGGGTCTGGGTGTGCGGATTTTGAATGGTGACTCTTGCAGCCAGTGTAACCTGAGATCAGGAAGAGCCCAGCCCCGGGCACCAGGGCCCCTCAGGCCCCGGGGATCAGAGGCTCGGGCTCGGGCCTGGGCCCTGGTGTTTCTATGACCTGCGTTTTGCCCTGCAGGGGGTGAGAGCCTGCGCTTAAGATCTGTTGTGTGAAGGATGGACGGCAGGGGCCAGAGCGGACGAGGACATCCAGCAGGGGAGCTGGACGGTCCAGTGAGGGTCAAGGAGCTCAGCCGGGGGAGGTGTGCGGGTTCAGGGGTGTGGGGCTCAGCAGGGAGCCTTCTATTCATAAACAGGAAGGAAAGAGGGCCTGCCAGCTCGCGAGGGGGCACACCCGGCTGGGCCCTGGCACACGTGTCCACAGGGCTGGCCATGTCCCCCACCCCCAGAGGGGTGGGGCAGCAATGAAGCTTCCGGAAGTCTCTGGTTCCCCACTGGCCACTTTGTTCACTGGCTCAGTCACTCCCTTGCCATCTGCCTGCCCGTCCGTCCAGCACCCACACCCTCTCTCTGTCCACTGTTTTCACAGGGATGCACACACTCACTCACGTGTCCTTTCATGGGTTCACCTTTGCACATTCACCCATTAATTCGTACCCTCACCACCCGCCCGTCCCTCCATCTTCCATTTGCTCATTCACAAGGTTTTCCCATCCATCCACCCATCTATCCATCCATCCATCCTTCCTTTCTTCCATCCATCCATCCTTCCACCCACCCACCTATCCATCCATCCTTCCACCCATCTATCCATCCATCCATCCACCCATCCATCCTTCCATCCTTCCATCAATCTATCCATCCATCTGTCCATCATCTGTTGATCCATCCACCCATCTATCCATCCATCAATCTTCCTTCCTTCCTTCCTTCCATCCATCCGTCCATCCATCCATCCTTCCACCCATCCATCCATCCATCCACCCATCTATCCATCCACCCATCCATCCATCCATCCATCCATCCATCCATCCATCCATTCTTCCATCCATCCATCCATCCATCCATCCATTCTTCCATCCATCTATCCATCCATTCATCCATCATCTGTCCATCCATCCACCCATCTCTCCATCCTCCATCTGTCCATCCTCCATGTACCCACTGATCCATCCGTCCGTTCCCTCATCCTTCCGTCCACACTCACTGCTCACCCACGGGTTCCTCCATCCATCCATCCCTCCCTCACTCATGTGCGTCCACAGCATCTTACTTGATGCTTGGGGTGCCAGGTGCTGTTGGCAGCCCCCGGGGTTTAGCAGTGAGTCCTGGGAGCTGACGTCCTGGGGTGTGCGTGTGACTTGGGGGCAGTGAGCCTGGCTGGGGCGGGTCCTGGAAGAAGTTGCCTGGATCAGACGTGAGGGGCAGGGCCGTGGGGTCCCGTCCAGTCCTCTGCTTGACAGTCTGAGGCCACCGAGTCTTCTCCCTAATTTTCCCCGACTCCTTAGCCCAGGCTTTCCCCGGTGAGGGCCAGGGCAGGGCTGTCTCCTGGGGTTGATGGGGCAGAGCGGAGACGGGGCCTGCATCCCGGGGCCTTCTCTAGAGGGGCACCTACAGGAGCGCTGCACAGAGAGGGCGCCAGGAGGTTCAGAGCAGGCCCTGCTGCCTGCCGGGCTGGCCAGGAGCCGGGGCCCCCAGAGGCCTCGCTCGGGGACACCCTGCAACAGGGCTGAGCCCCGGTTCCAGCCTCCGCCTCCCCCGCGCCAGGCAGGCTGCTCTCCCACGGGTGCAGAGGGAGCCACCCACAGTCTCTGCTTCCCCTGGGTGAATTCCCACAGGACACCCAGCTGGGACACGAGGTGCGGCTTCCGTGGAGGTGGGAGGCAGACTGGCAGTCCCCGCCTGGGTCCCGCGACAGCCTGCGCCTTTCAGATATTTACCAGTGAGGTTCCCCCGGAGCGTGTGGAGGATGGGACAGGCCAGGTGGGGGGGAGAGAGATGGACACACACACTCACACACACACACACACAGGCGTGCAAGGGAGACACAGAGACCCAGGGCAGCAGAGTCAGGTGACAGGTGTGTTCTAGGGAACGTCTCTGGTGACAGCTCC